TGTTCAGAAGGGCATACTGTAAGGCTGCTCTGCTCTCACTTGAGCTTGTTCAGAAGGGCATACTGTAAGGCTTAGGTCGATTGGATCCCGGACATTATGACAGGGTAGGCAGAGGCTGACGTCCACAAAAAAATTCAAGAGAAGTTGAGTCTTGCCACAGATCTCCAGGATGATTCTTCCTTCTCCAAGGGTTTCCTCAGTTCAGATCTCTCCTGCTTTTTACTCATCTTTTCTGGTTCCCCCTTATTCTCTGGTTATTCAGAACATTTTCACAAAGAAAGTCTAGCCAGGGGAAAAGAACCAATTCCAACTTACGACATGTTAGAGTTATGATGAAATGCACTTATGACCATCACTTTTTTTTTGTGTATCTCATCATTAGTAGTATGTACTACATACAGTGTTACAGCATGTAATTTGCTGATGTTATCGTTGTCAGATGTTCACTTGCAGATGTTCAATTTTATGATTTACTGATTGTCTTCCGCTGGGTTCTCTAGAGAAGCAAAACTAGTGAGGTGTGTGTATGTATATATAAGTGTATATATATGGAGAGAGAGAGATATTTATCTCAAGGAAATGGCTCACACTGTTGTGGAGGCTGGATCAGAGTTCAGCTGGAGGCTTCTCCTGACTCACATGGTTGCAGGGGCTGATGAACCCAAAATCGTCAGGTCAGTTGGCAGGCTGCTGGTTCACAAGGCTGTGGAAGCTGGCAAAGGCCAAAGCTGGCAAATCAGATGACAGGCTGCTGGCTTACAGGGCTGCAGATCTGGCGAATCCCAAAATCGGCAGGCCAGACGACAGGCTGCTGGCTCAAGTCCCAAGAACCGCAGGTCAGATGATGATGAGCCAGAAACAGGATCTAGAGCAAGCAAGAGCGCTTTGCCAAAACATCCATATATGTATTTGATGCAGGCCTCACCCCTGAGGAAACTCTGCTTACAACTGATTTAGCTGATCGCATCAGATCACATCACGAAGGTGATTACATTATATTACTTATGGGAGGTCACAAAATGGATGTAATTATATCAGATCACAATATGGAGGATAATTACATAATACTGAGAATCATGGCCTAGGCAAGTTGACACATAACTCTCCTACTTATCAAAACACTCCTGTATAGCAGGCTATGGCCTGGTCTACAGTGAAGTCAGTGTCGGGAGTCATAATGGATAGAAAGTTGGGCAATGTTCAGCTCTGACGATACACAACAGTTGAACCGCACACGTGCCTGACAGCTGTTACAACTCCGACTTCATTGTTATGACACCGACACTGACTTCATTGTATACCAGGCCTATTTAAAAAAAAACAAAAACAAAAAACAAACCATTGTTGTTGAGTGGATTCTGACTCACAGCAACCCTATAGAAAATGCCCCATAGAATTTCCAAGGTGCGGCTGGTGGATTTGAACTGCCAGCCTTTGGTTAGCAGCCGAGCTCTTAACCAGTGTGCTACCAGGGCTCCATATCAGGCCTGTAGCATGATCTTATTCAGCGTTTCCTACATCAGAAGCATCAGTAGTTAATCTGAAGCAAAGTTGTTCACATTTTCTCTAACACCTGCACTGCTTGTAACCCCAAAAGAAGTCATGCCACCAAAGGTTCTGATCCAGAAAAGAAGGTGAGGAAGGATCTAGACATGGATACAAAGATGAAGATCATTAAGGCCTGTGGTAATGGAAGGAAAGTTGGTGAAATAGCACCTGAGGAAGGGACTGTCTGATTCGACCATTTCAGCAATCATTAAGGATAAGAATAGGATTTTGGAGGCAGTTAAGGGAGTGATCGGCATAAAATCGACAATTTTAACAAAGAATAGCAAGGGCCAATCTAGAAGATGTAGAAGCTGTTGATGATTTGGATAGAAAACCAAATCCAGAAGAGGATTCCTATGAGTTTACTGATGATGCAGATGAAAGCGTGCAAGCCATTTTGAAAATCAGAAGGAACAGTAAGGAAAGACTCCTGAGAGTAATGCCGGTGAAGGCTAGATTCATCACTTAAAACGCAGATTTGGCTTACATAACATGCATATAACTGGAGAAGCAGGAAGCTCTGATGTTGAAGCTGCCGAAAAATTCAAGGGTGAGCTGGACAAGACAGTGAGATGTTACTGCAAAATATATGAAGAAAAAAAGAAAAGGACCATACAGATAATTCTCACTAGTTTTCTGACTAGAAACGCCCTCCCCATTCCTGGGGATAATCCAGATGATCCAGAACCTTCCACAAGTGGAGTTACTACCGCAGCTGACACAATGCCAGCATTGTCTAACAACTCATTTTTAGAGTAAATTTTTATGATTTGTGTATTTTTTCATGTGTATGTATTAAAATACTAAGTTTATATGTAATGTGTCCAACCTCCAAAGACAAATAAAGATCAGATTTGTAAAAATACTGATAATAAAAGGCAATAATAATGAAAAAAATGAAATATTTGACTTATGTCAAAACTGACTTATGATGGAGTTGTTGGAACAGAATCCGTTGTAAGTCAAGGACTACCTCTACTTGGGCTGAAACTTTCTTGTTTGTTTTTATTTAAGACTTTGACCACACACACACGTGCATACTTAACGTATGAACGTATGTATGTGTCTGTATATGTAACAGAAGAAATATAATTGTGATACGTATAAAGTGACTCTCACCACCCCCATCCCCACCCCCATCTCGGTCCCCTTACCAGCAGCGTTAGTGCTGCTGTCAGGTTGGTGGTGGTTTGCTTTGATTTCTTACTAGTATAGATAACATACTGTGCTGTAGATTTCTGTTTTTTACTTGACAATCAATGTTAGACCTCTTTCTTTCTATGTATCAGTACTTATTTCACATTTGTTGGTGTATGGCACACACCCCTCTGCCTCCTAAAAATAGTAATCTAAAATTGTTCTTTCCAAACCATTTTTCTCCAGTTCAATGTTGATTTTTGAAAAGTCCAAAGAAAATAGTTTGAAAATAGTTAATTTTATGCACACTCAATATACTTCTCTCAAATAATCCTTTTAGGTTAATATATTTGAAACTTTGAGGTCTTTATTTCCCCATAAATGTTACACCTATTATTTTCTTTTTTCTTTGTTTAGTTTATTATGGAGAAATGTAAGTGTATGCAAGTATTGACAGCTAGAATATGACGCCTTCACTCCCATAATTATCAGTTAATCATTTTCAATTTGTGACCAATGTTTTTTTCATGTATATTCTACCTCTTCCTTTCCCCAGCGCCCCAGTATTATTTTGAGGAGAATGTGTATTTTGGTGTTGTTGGATGGAGTGTTCTTTAGATGTGTGTTAGGTCTAGTTGTTTTAATATTGTTCAAGCCCTATATTTCCTTATTAATGTTCTAATTATCCTATCCATTATTGAAAGTAGGGTGTTGATATCTCCAACTATGATTGTTGAGTTGTCTATTTCTCCCTTCATTTCTGTCAGTTTTTGCTGTATGTATTTTGGAGCTCTTTTGTTAGGTACAGACATTTTCTAACTGTTGTGTCTTCCTGATTGATTGAACCTTTTATCATTATAAAATATCCTTCTTAAGTAACAATTTTTTGTCTTAAAATTTATTTTGTCTGATATTAGTACAGCCACTCCAGCTCTCTTTTAGGTACTGTATGCCTGGTATTTTTTTGCATTCTTTTTCTCTCAACTTATTTGTACCTTTGAATTTAACTTGTATCCCTTGTAGGCAGTATGTATCATATCTGTACGCAGATAATGTGCACCCTCTGCGTTTGTTTGCTGGCTGTGTCTCCCCCCGCCCCCCTCAACGAGGCACACTCACAAGTGCTGCCATGCCAATCTTCCACATGTTGCCGTTAAAAAAAAAAAAAAAATTAGCATAGTGCACTTAGGAAAATACCTCGTGGGAGGAGGGTGTAGTCGGCAAACAAATGCAGAAGGCATGCATTATTTATGTAAAAATGCAGTAATTTCACCATGTTTTTTATTGGACTGTAATCCATTTACATTTAATGTAAATATTGTTAAAGCAAGATTTTACATCTACATTCTGCTGTTTGTTTTCTATATGGCTTACATCTTTGTTTATTTCTTCATTACTGCCTCCTTTTGTGTTTAAAGTAGATATTTTCTAGTATACCACTTTAATTCCTGTGTTGTTTCTTTTACTGTCTTTTTAGTTATTTTCTTAGTGGATGGCCTTGAGACTACAATTAACATTTTAACTTAAAATAATTTAGTTTGGATTAATACCAAGATCATTTCAATAGTATACAAAATCTTTGCTCCAGTATAACTCTGTTCCCTAAGCCTCCTTTGTACTATTATTGTTATACAAATTACATCTTTACCTATTGTAAGCCCATCAACACAGATGTATAACTATTGCTTTAAGCAGTTATCTTTTAAATCAAATCTGAGAAGAAAAGAGTCACAGACAAAAATACATTTATACTGTCTCTATATTTACTTATGCAGTTACCTTCACTGCTGCTCTTTATTTCTTCATGTGAATTTGAGTTACTATCAACTGTCGTTTCATTTCTGCTCAAAGGACTCAATATTTCTTTTAGGGCAAGTTGCCATGAATCCGAATCAACTTGATGGCAACTACCATATTTTTACACAAATAACGTGCATGTTCTACGTGTGTTTGCCAGCCACGGCCTCCCCACCTCGAGGTATTTTCATAAGTGTGTTATGCCAATTTTTTTTTACATGGTGCTATTAAAAAAAAAATGCATAGTGTGCTTATGAAAATACCTCATGGGGGGAGTGGCGCGGTTGACAGACAAACTTAGAACATACATGTTATTTGTGTAAAAATACTATAACAATAATATGCTAGTAGTGAATTATCTCTTTTTCTTATTTGGGAATCTCTTAATTTCTCCTTAGTTTTTTGAAGGATAGTTTTGCTGGATATAGAATTCTTGATTGATGATCTTTTTCTTTCAGTATCTTGAATATGTCATCTCACTGCCTTCTGGCCTCCCAGGTTTCTGATGAGAAATCAGCTGTTAATCTTACTGAGAATGTCTTTTATATAAAGAGTTGCTTTTCTCTTGCTGATGTTTGTCTTTGGATTTTGACAGCTTGCCTGCAATGTCAATAGGTTCAGCTCTCTTTGAGTTTATCCTATTTGTAGTTTTTCAGTGAACTTCTTCCATGTGCAGGTTAATGTTTTTCATCAGATTTGGGAAGATTCTGGCCATTATTTCTTCAATATTCTTTCTCTCTTCTCTTTCTGAGACTCCCATTGTGTGTATGTTTGTGTGCTTGATGATATCCCGTAGGTCTCTGAGCCTCTGTTTATTTTTATTCATTCTTTCCTCTTTTCATTTCGTAGACTGAGTAGTCTCAATTAACCTATCTTCAAGTGTACTGATTCTTCTTTCTGCCAGTTCAAATTGAGCCTCTCTTGTGAATTTTTCATTTCAGTTATTTTAATTTTCAACTCAACAATTTCTGTTTGGTTTTTTAAAATAATTTTGATTTATTGATATTTTCTATTTGATAAAATATTAATCGCGTACTTTTAGTTCTTTAAACATGGATTTCTTTAGTTCTTTGAACATAGATATGTATGTATAATAGCTGATTTGTCTTACTAATCAAACTTCTGGGCTTCCTTAGGGTCAGTTTCTGTTGACTGCTTTTTTTCCTTGTGTATGGGCCATATGTGAGCCCTGGTGGCACAGTGGTTAAAACACTTGGCTGCCAACCAAAAGGTCAGTGGTTGGAACCCACCAGCCGCTCTGTGGGAGAAAGATGTGACAGTCTGCTTCCATAAAGATTTACAGCCTTAGAAACCGTATGGGCTGGTTCTACTCTGACCTGTAGGGTTGCTATGAGTTGGAATTGACTCAATGGCAGTGTGTTTGGTTTTGGGTTTTTTGTATGGGCCATACTTTCTTGTTTCTTTGCATGTCTTACGATTTTTTTGTTGAACACTAGACATTTTAAAGAATATATGTGACAGTTCTGGACATCAGACCCCCCTACCTTCCCCGCTGCCCAGCCTGAGTTTGTTGTGTTTGCTAGCTGTTGTTGTCATTGTTGCTGTGTGTTTGTTTAGTGACTTTTCTGGACTAATTTTGTAAAGTCTGTATTTTTTGTCATGTCATTTGAAGTCTTTATTAGGTTAGCTAATGATTGGATAGGGATTTCCTTAAATGCTTTGAACCGGTAAGTCTACCAGCCTTTGCTAAAGGGCCGTGTGTGAATGTTGGGGTATGTTTCCAGTGCTTTGGCAGTCAGTTTACAACTCTGCCTTATCCTTCAGTTCCTGCTGCTTCAGAGCCTCAAGTTCAGCCAGAGGTGAGAGATTAGGACCTTCTCAGATATTCCCTGGACGTGCACACAGGTCTGCATATGTTTGACCTTCTAGATTCCCGGGAATATGCCAGAGCTTTTCAGAGTTTCCCATAGATGCCTTATTCCCCAATTTTTCCTTTTCATTTTCAGGTCAACCTCTTGCTAGCTCCAACTGGAAACATTGCCCCAGGAAGCTGTGATTTTAAACATTTGTGGCTGATTATTTTTGACCATTGAACTGTGGTTAGGGAATGTAGATAGAGCTGTTGACATGGCAAGCACTGAGTCAGGTCAAGTAGAGACAAGCCCTGAGAGTGGAGCTTTTCAGTGAGCTTCTGGATGAGCCAGAGAGTCATAGTTCTCTGGAGATGGGCCTCTTAGGGAGTTTTAATCTTGTTTTGCCCCCTACAGTCGCTGCTACACTAGTAGTTTTCACAGTTACTATAGTTGTGAATGTGTTGGTTTTCAAGGCTGTCACTGAGTTGGGGAGAGGGGATGGGAATAGGGCAAGTTAAAATTCCAGAAAGCTTACTATTCTTACCTGGATTCAATTTTTTTTTTTTTTAAACAAATACTCCTTGGGATGCTACAAGCTTTTGGTTGATTTTCAGAATTCTGACGAAGTTGATTTTGATAAGTTTTGCCAGTGTTGCTTTTATGGAGGAGCAGATTTTTCGAGGTCCATTTTCCTCCATTGCAGAAGTGCTTCTCCTCCTCTTTATTGTTTTGAAGCAAACATCAGACATGCTATTTCAGACATCAACTATTTCAGTATATATCATGAAGGAGAAATGTAAAGATGAGGGATAATCCTCAGATTCACTTTCATTTGTAACAACTTTCCCAATTCTTATAGCGATACTGTTCCTTTAATATTGTTTCTCAGCTGTTGTCATATTCTGTGCTATTTCCTTTGGTCTCCAGTCTCTGTGTACTCTATTTTCTTTTTTCTCCTTAGTATCTTTCCTTATTCTGTTGCCTAACCAGATTACTATGGTAATTTGGCATGTATTACAGTGATGCCGTTGATGTACTGTAGCAGCCTGCTTTTTAGTGAAAGTGCTAAGTGATTAGGTTGTAGGGATGGGGAGAAGGTAACACGTGGGGTGGTTTTAGCATGGTTTAAGGTAGAGACTTGTGGAAGTCTATATTGAATTTTTGGTTGGAGACAAAGTTGGGTGGGAGGAGTTAGCAGAGTTTCTAAAAACAGCTTTGACTTAAGAATTTATAAATCATATATTTATTTTACTTTGCCTCATTCCCAAAAGGATTTGAGGCCATCCTAAAAATCTTATAGCTGTCTTATTGACCAGAAAATAATGAAAAATATTGCAGCAATGGATTAAAACTAACAGTGGATTGAATAAACTATGTCAGATTTTTATCACGAGAATTGTGGTGATTGAGTCATCTATTACATATTAAACTCCTTAAACTTGTACTTTCTAAACAGGATACTGTTAGAGTTAAGACACAGTTCTCTATTATGTCTCTAAGCAGTTTAATGGGGTATCAGTAGTCACTGAGGATAAAGTTGATCTTTAATTCGAGTAGATTTTTAGCACTCATTATTTTAAATTGACTAGTTTCAAAGACATTTAATATTTATTTAGTGGTGATTGAAAGGGTTGGGCCTAATCTATTTTGACAGTTTACACGACTCATATTTCATCATAGGATATGTTGACATTAACATAGCTAAAGTCTCTGTCTTTTTTAATGTATTTTTATTTTTTATCATATTCTTAGGTTCATCAAGGCTTATAAGAAGTTTGGTCTCCCTCTTGAACGGTAAGCTCACTAATAGTTTTTTATTGGTCACTTTTTCAGTTTTATTGTATAATAAGTCTTTAAAATTTTTTTTTCATTTAATACTAATGCTGGGAACTTTTTTTTAAATGGAAACTTTTTTTTACAAACATTGATTAATGCGTGCAGTGTTTGTGCATGTCTGTCACTGTGCTAGGCTCTCGGGAAGGGTAACAAAGATGTTAATGACAAATCATCCCCACAGAGATTTTACCTTAGTGAGGAAGATGAAGCAAATACATTCAACACTGTAGTACAAAGAAATAATTTCCAGAAGTGATGTTCACATAACTCCTGTTGAGGAGAATGTACGTGGTTATTATTTGTATTCTAGTTCTTAGATTTAGTAATGCCAAAGGTAAAAGGCTCTTGGTGGTTTTGTAATCTTCTACTAAATAGGGCCGTCATCAGGATTCAGTGCAAAGAGCTTATAATGCCTTGCTAATTGTTGTTGGGTGCTGTCAAGTCGGTTATGACTCATAGTGACCCTATAGAACAGGGTAGAACTGCCCCATAGTCTTCCCAAGGAGCAGCTAGTGGATTTGAACTGCCGACCTTTTGGTTAGCAGCCGAACTCTTAACCACTGTGCCACCAGGGCTCCTTCTTGCTAATGGTGACTTCCAAAAGGGTCACCTGTTGTTACTGTTCTACAGGCATTCAGAAAATGAATTTGGAAGGTTAATTTTAACAGAGCTCATTTCAACTAGTCTGGTATTTTGCTTTGTACAAAGTCAGCAGTTCCACCTTTAAATATTAGTACTGGTTTAAAGGAAATACCAGATTCCCTTCTTCTACTGCTGATAAACTTCTAGAGTGGATGAAAGTTCCAAGCCTTTATGTTTTGTTTTGCCCTCTCCATTTGGAGAGGAAATGGTGATGTGTAACAGTAAGCCACAGAGAAGCCGAGAAAATGAGGTGCATCTCTCTGGGACTGTTGCTGACTACCCAGGAGTAGAATGCCTGTCTTCGAGCAAGTTACAGTAAAAATGATCAGGGTTTAGAATAGTGGGCCTGGCACCTTTTGGCAGCCAGATTTCTAGACATTAGCCTTGGAGTGGCCAATGAAGGAAAGCAGAGAAAAGTATCTTTGTAGGAGTAAGCTTACGTGAAGCCTAGTGGTAAGTGTGATGTTAGAAAACTGGGCACAGGGCCTTGAAGTATCCCCATATTTGTCCTTCCTCAGGCTGGAGTGCATAGCACGGGATGCTGAGTTGGTAGATAAGTCTGTGGCAGATCTGAAGCGCCTGGGTGAACTAATTCACAACAGCTGTGCATCAGCAATGCAGGAATACGAAGAACAGCTGAAAGAAAATGCCAGCGAGGGTAAGTCAGTAAGTTTCAGAGATCATTCAAAACCTGCCATTTGTATACTTGGATTTCTGTTGCTAAAGGGCTCTTTTAGAATACAGTTGTATGTCACGCTTTTCTGATGCTTTGAGGTGTGTGTTCTTACCTGCCTTTATGTGAGCTCAATGTTGTAAGATCCCAAAGATCTACTCACAAATGAAGTTGATTTGCAGGAAGTATGTGGAGTGATGAGCAAGTTGAAATGGTTTATTTTGTGATAGAAAGTTTAAATTGGGTTGGAAGATGTTAAGAGCTGAGTAGGCAGAGCCGAGTGGACACATCCAATATTTGGCTGCAAATGAGGAAATTCTAGACCACAGGCATTATTAATAATCTTGGATATACATATACTTATTGTTGCATTGTGACAGACTTGAGTTAGAAAGTTAATAGAAGTAAGTAAGATATTGGATGAATATTCTAAACAGCTTTGATAGGGCTAGAATTTGTTGTAATTGGACACGACCTGTAGTATGCTTTTTCTTAGGGACCAGAAAGTGTTTTTGCCTGTCCCAAGTGGTACGTCTCTGAAAGTGGGAAGTGTGGAGATGTTTGTGAGGGGACAGGTCTCGTAGGATACTCTCATTGCAAACCTCAAACAAAGAAACAGTTCACTAGACTGTGGTTTGTCTCTGCCATTTCCTCTATTCTTCTGTCACTCCTCACTACGCTAAGTAAGGCTGAGGAGATGCTCTCGAGTTATGGGTAAGGGTCCAGGCTTTGGAGGCCACCAGTTACCTGGAGTCTTGCTTCTGCCATTTACTATCTACAAGGCCTTGTTCAAGTTATATCCCAGCAACTCTCTAACCATTTGCCAAATGGAGAAATAGTACCTCAGAGGATTTGGACGATCGGTTGAATAAGGCTATGCATGTAAAGTACTTAGCATAATGTATGGGCTACAGTGTTAGCTATTATTATTAACCAATGAAGTATTTATGCTCTGAAATTTTCTTCTTCAGAATATTATTGAAGTTTATAGAAATATCTTAGATCTAGTGAAAACTCTTAAAAATACATGTTCTTTCTTTGTGAAAGAAACTTAAGTAACTTGAGTAGTTAGGATAATGATCTGAATATGTCCTTTTAAGCACTCCCAAAGTGTATTTAAGTTTTACTTTTTTTTTTTTTTTTAATATTCTTTGTAATTGTTTTGAATAAGAGTACATTCACATGGCAAAAAATAAAAAAAAGATAACTTATGTTATGGATTGAATTGTGTTCCCTAAAAATATGTGTTGTAAATTCTAACCTCTATGCCTGTGGTTATAATCCCATTTGGGAACAGGTTGTCTTTGTTATGTTAATGAGACAGGATTAGTGTAGGGTGTGTCTTAAGTCTGTCTCTTTCAAGATATAAAATCGACTAAACAAGAAAGTGAAAGAAGCAGAGATGGGGGAAGAGAGATACCAAGCTACATGATGATCACCAAGGAGCCAAGGAATAAGGACCTTCCCCCTGAGCTGACAGAGAGAGAAAGCTTTCCACCCTACAGCCAGCACCCTGAATTTGGACTTCTAGCCTCCTAAACTATGAGAAAATAAATTTCTGTTTGTTAAAGCCATCCACTTGTAGTGTTTTTGTTATAGCAGCACTAGATAACTAAGACACAATTATTTGGTACCAGAAGAGTGGGGTGCTGCTCTAACAGATACCTAAAATACAGAAGCAGTTTTGGAATTGGGTAATGGGTAGAGGCTGGAAGAGTTTTAAAGTGCCTAATAATAAAAGCCTAGATTGCCTTGAAGAGACTGTTGGTAGAATTATGAACGTCAAAGGCAATTCTGGTGAGGGCTTAGGAGGAAGTGAGGAGAGCTATAGAGATAGTGTCTGTTGTCTTAGAGAATACATATGGTGCCAGCAACAGAATGTTGCTAGAAATGTGGTCGTTAAATATGTGTCTGGTGAGGCTGTAAAAGAAAATGATGAACATATGTGATAATGGATAATGGAGGAAGGGCGATGTTTTTTATACAGTTTCCAAGACCTTGTCTCAATTATGTTCAAATGTTTGGTGGAAGGTAGAACTTGTAAATGATGAACTTGGATGTCTGGCTGCTGAAATTTGTAAGCAAAATCTTAATGGGGCCATGTGGTTTCTCCTTGCTGCTTATAGTAAAATGCAAGAGGAAAGAAATGGAATTAAAAATGAACTGTGCAAAATGAAAACAGAACTTAAAGATTTGGAAAATTTTGTTGTACAAACTAAGGACACGTGTTCCAGAATGTTCACCAAGGACGTTGCCTACACAATCTTTTGTTAAAGAGATTAAGCCTGTGACTGATGGATCTAGCCAATTTCCACAGCAGAAAACCCATCAGCTTAGACTGAAGGGAACAGAGAAAGAGCGAAAGGAAAGAGCGCTGTCTGCCTCTTGAAATTCTACAGGCAGGAAGCAGGCCAAAGGAGCTCCATCTTTTGTCCTCCAAGAAAAGAAAAGGACCATCCCTGGAGCAGCTTAGAGATCAGCAGAACTGTTGGAAGGAGCACAGGAAGTAGGGCCTTACTGGTTTCCAAGGGTGGGGCCACAGCCTCCTAGGTTTCAGAGTTGGATCTTCACCAGTTCGGTTCTGGAGTGTGGCGATACTGTTAAGGTGCCAGGGGGTGGGGCCGCCATGCCCAAGGGGCAGAACAGGGTCTTCTGGGGCCAAGGGGGTGGGGTTGCCACTCGGATGATGAGGAGAATGGGGCTGTCTAAAGCTGAGGGAGCAGAGTTGCTGTCCTATAGGGCCTAGAAGGCAGAGCTGAAGCCCAGGGCTGAGGGTCCTCCACCCGGAATCCAGAGGGCGTGGCCAACACCCGGAGTCTGGAGAACGGGGCCATTGTTCAAATTGTCTCAGAGAACAGGGGATTGTTTTCAAGCCTTGAGAGCTAATGTAAATTGTTCTGCCGGGTTTTGGACTTGCTTGGTGCCTGTTACCTCTTCTTTTCCTCAAATTTCTCCCTTTTGTAATGGAAATGTCTACCTTGTACCTGTTCCACCATTGTGCTTTGGAAACAAATGACTTGTAATCTAGATTTCACAGGTTCACAGATGAAGAGGAATTTTGCCCCAGGATGGAATCTGTCTAAAGTCTCACTCATATTTGATTTAGATGATTCAGAAGATGGGATTTTGGACTTGGAGTTGATTTAAGACTTTGGGATGATGTGATGGGGTGAACGTGCTTTGCACATGGCAGGGACATGAATCTTTGGGGGCCAAAAGGGGTAATGTTACAGGTTAAATTGTGTCCCTCAAAAATATGTGTTGTGAATTCTAGTGTCTATGCCTGTGGTTATAATCCTGTTTGGGAATGGGTTGTCTTTGTTATGTTAATGAGACAAGATTAGTGTAGGGTGTGTTTTGAGTCAGTCTCATTTGAGATATCAAAGAGATTAAATAAGCAAGTAGAGGAGAGATGTGGTAAAATAGATACCAAGGCACATGGAGATTTCTAAGGAACTGGGAAGCAGAAGCTGAAGAGACAGTGCAGTGCGATTGATTACTTTTGTGTGGCCTTTCTAGCCATGGTCGTGTAACTCCCACCCAGGTGATTGGGCAGGACTGTGTGATAGGGTAATTGTGACCCACCAAGGGCATTGGTCACTTTTGCCTTAAAAGAAAGCCAATTCCAGAGCAGAAAGGAAAATTCCAGCACCTTCAAGGAAGAACAGCCAGGAGCCAGCACGTCCTTTGGACCTGAGATCCCTGTGCTAAGAAGCTCCTGGACCCAGGAGACAGCAAGCTCTAACCTTGAAGACGATGAGAAGCAGTGACAGGAAAGACCCAACAGCAGAGACCTGCCAGCAAGAGATGGTGTGGTGGGCTTCCCAGCCTGTGGAGAGAGAAAGCTGAATGCCTTTGGACAGAGGCCAAGGGCCAGGGAGAGGCATGCCTGTGAGCACAGATGGGGAGAGGCTGTCCTGATGGAAGAACTGTATCTTGAGTGTTCCTGAGCCTGAATTGTGACCTGTTACTTCCCTAATAAACCCCATGATTGTGAGTATGGTCTGTGAGTTCTGTGGCCATTGCGATGAATTATCAAACCCAGTAGAGGGTGCTGTGGGAGGGATGGTTGGTATCAGAATTGGTAAAGATGACAGAGAGAAGAGACTTGTCTGACTCCGTCTCGTAGGAATCAGCCTAAGTTTCCTATCTGTTCTTTCGAGTTGCTGTTGTCAGTTTGATCCCATATAGATAAATCTTAAAAGAGCACAGTGTTTAAGGCAGACATTCTTTGCTAGTTAAGCTAAACTAGTGTTTGGTTTTAAGACTTCAGGGGATGTTTTTGGTTTAAGGTTTAAAGATTATCTCAGGGAAGTAGTTTCAGAGGTTCATCTACTACCTGATTTTTTTTTAAGGGCTACATAATCCTTTATGGATATATTATAATTAATTAGGCTCCTATGGGTGGACATTTAGCTTTTCAATCTTTTGCTTACGGTGTTGAAGTAAATAATTTTATATGTATGCCATTTTGCACGTGTGGAGCGTATCTGTAGGAGTAAATAACTAGAATTAGAGTCGACAGTATTGTCTTGTTTCACAGTTTACACTCCTACTAGCAATGTATGACAGTGTCTGTTTCTTCTTAGTCTCATCAACATAATGTTTTCAGATTTTTGAATTTTCCCAACCTGATGGGTTAAAAATGATGTGTATGGTACGTGCATTCCTCTTACTATGAGTGAGGTCCAGCATTGTTCATGTTGGGAATCATTTGTATTTCCCTTTCTGTGAATCTGTCCTTTGCCTTTTCTGTTTTTTTTTTTTTTTTTTTTCCTGTTGAAACTCTTATTTTACAGATGTGAAAACTGATTCCTGGAGAGGTTAATAACTGGAAGTAGGGGAAAGAAGGGGTGGAGGATAGTTTGTGTAGATTTTGGAATAAATCCCAGATTTCTGATTTTCAGAGCAGTGTTCTTTCCCTTTTATTATATTTTGTTCCAGCCCTCTTCAGTGTTATTGAGAGTAGCATTTACACGTGAAACTCGAGTGGATTGGATAAGAATTCCTAAATTAACTGTTTATGTTTGTTTATATGGTAGTGCCATTTTATCAGCCTGAATGTAAAAAATGCATATCTATCTTTTTTAAGACTCTGAGCCATCTTTCCCTCTCACAAACTATTGGCATTATCTCCTAGATTTCAACCTTGACTTTTTGAGTAGAATGGCAGGGTTTTATTTCTATTTCTAGGATTCTTTTAATTTGAAACTTGGTCTAGTATAACCTATACATGCCAGCCTTTATCAATTCAAATGTGTAAGGTATTAACTTGATCTTATACTTCTTCAGTAGAGATACTGTGAAGATCAAATGATTTCATTTTTAAAATGCTTGTTTTTTTTGTAAATCTGCTAACGTGGTAGTTAGGTATTATATTTTCAGAAGCTTCTTTTAGTTCATTGATTTTACAACCAAAATATAATTAAAAAAATAGTGAGATTAAAATACAATTATAAATGTCAGTGGATTTAAGAAATCCTAAGTCCAAAAACTTTATTGTTCAGAGGTCACTTTACAAAATATTAATTGAAAATTTTTTGTTCTATAGATTATATTTTTGAACTAACATTAAGCAGGAGAAATACTTGAAGGAATAAGAGTTGAGGGCTTGCTGATACATGTTGTCTGTGGAACTTTGGTGAGCTATCATTTTATCTATTGTAAAATTGGTGTACTTTAGGGAAAGGACCAGGGAAAAGGAGAGGCCCAACAATCAAGATCTCTGGGGTTCAGGTTAACGTGAAATCTATTATCCAACATGAAGAAGAGTTTGAGATGCTGCATAAATCTATCCCTGTGGACCCTGAAGAAAAAAAAAAGTGAGTGCACTGTGTGTACACGTATGAGTGGTTGTGCCACGAGAAAATAGATCTGAAATTAAAATTACATGGTGTTTTCAGTGTTTTTTTCTGTAACATATCAGAATACTTTGTCTTGTTAAGATAATTTGTGTTCATTTCCAAAATCAGAGAGACGTCTCTTCTAATGTGCTCCTGGTTTTAAAATCCTTTTAGGTACTGTTTAAGCTGTCGTGTCAAAGCTGCACATTTTGACGTAGAGTGGGGAGTGGAGGATGATTCTCGCCTGTTGCTGGGAATTTACGAACATGGCTATGGAAACTGGGAGCTAATTAAAACTGATCCGGAGCTGAAATTAACTGACAAAGTAAGTAGCTCTGTGACGCTGGAGATTTCTAGACGACTGGCTGTGTAATATTTTTACAAAATCAATTTTGTAAAATTAATTTAATACAATAAAAATTAAATGAATACATTAGTAAATTCCTGGTATTTCTTTATTCTTGGAGATGGTACTATCTTTAGGGAACTGTGGCACTGTTTCATAGATGAAGATCAAGGGGAAGACAGTAGCCCAGTGAGGTTTTGGGCAGTTACAGGAGGAATCTTAAAATTCTGATTTTATTATAGGTCACGTCTCATTGCAACAAATACCAGGGTAAGAGTCTTAATAATAAAAGCATTTCTTGGCCTTAGCCTCTGTTTAAAACTATATTGGAAACAACCATATTTCAGTTCTACACACAAAGAATGAGCCACACCTTGGTATTTTTTGTAATGGAATTAAACTTTGACTGCACTTCTCCCACAAAATTGAGCCTCCCAACCTTTTCATTGTGAGTCAGGCTACCGAGCAGCAAGGCCATGTTAGAGCGGTAAGGAAGGGCAGCTGACAGGCTCAGATTTCAGTAGGATTCGCTCCATGCTGTGCTCCTGGAAGGGCTTTGCCTGGCACATCAATAATGCTCATCCCATGTGGGTTTTAAGAGGGTGACAGCACCCTGCCAAAAACACTGAGATCAAATCCAGTCTGGACCGAGAGGTCCAACTGAAGTAGCAGGGAAAGGATCATGTCCTGGCATAGCTCAGTGCTCTCCGGCAATGCTCTAAGAAGCATTTTAAATCTAAAATGAAGCTTTAACCTAGCTCCAGGGAGTCCCTGCTCCTGGAAGGAGGAAATCCACGACGGCTGGGATGCTCTAGCAGATGAAGCCAACAAGCCCCTCCTACCTGAGTTGTTCTACCCTGTTAACAGCACAGGTAGGAGCCAGTGGGAGAGCTGGATTTCTCCATCCCATTTTGTAAAACGAGAACGGCTCATGAGGGATTGTCGGTGATTGGGAGCCATGGACATGAGATAGGATCTGAGGCTTTGTATCTCGGGTGGTTGGGGAGGGAAAGGACTGTGCTTAGGACTTGTGGTCTCTGTTTATCCTGATCCACTAACCTGGATGTGGGGTGGTGGTGGGTGCTTCTCTTCTTTCCTGTTGAAGATTCTGCCCGTGGAGAGTGATAAAAAGCCTCAGGGAAAGCAGCTGCAGACCCGAGCGGACTACTTGCTGAAGTTACTCAGGAAGGGTCTGGAGAAGAAGGGGGTCGTGAAAGGCGGGGAAGAGGTGAGTGTGGCCACCAGGTGGGTGCTCCTCAGGGGCTGAGGCTCTAACCCTGCACTTAGGTAGGAGAGATGCCCACTTCGGGCATGGCACAGAACGCTGTATGCCTTCTCTTGGTCAGGTGTTGCTTTCGAGGTTCCAGTGGTAGTTGGGTTGGTTGGTAATGATAGAAATTTTCATTTAATAATTGACCTAAAAGTCTTGGCAACTTTTCTTACAAATGCTTTACAAGCTTAATATTGCCTCAAAATAGTCCTCCTTTTTCCACAGTGCTACTATCCAGACATCGTGTTGCTGATTATTTGTAGTGCTTCCTCAATTTTAGAACATAGTTCTGGTTACTGTGTTGAACTGGGTTTGCGCATTGTTATATCCAACTCTGGGTTATTTGTAATAATGGGTCCCAGAGACAGGATGAATAATTGGAACTCACAGATACTTCCGAAAAACTGGATTTCAGTTATAATTGCCTTACTTGCTCAGTGAAAACTACCAACTTGGTTGTTAATTTACTCATCTGAGCTTTATCTCCTTTTTGATTTCCCGAACTTACTTTTAACTCAGGGCTAGAAAGATGGGGAGGCACAGTTAGGAGACACTGTAAGTTACATTCTGCACCTGCAGCCCTTGTGTGTGCATCGTCCTTAAATGTTCTTAGAGCTGTGCCATTTGTATTAATTTCACATTATTATAAACAAAATAAATTTTAGGAAAAAAAATCACAATCCCATACCTTTAATTTTGTGCCCTCTTTTCATATAGTAGTGTCATTTTCCAGATAATAGGATGGGTATGTACTATGTGCTGGATTCTGGAGAGAGAGACTAGATTGTGCTTATGCTTATTTTAGATTACTGTATCGTGTTTGAGTGGATAAACACTATTTTAATCTTTTTTTTAATTTTCACATATAGCTTGCTCTTATAAGTTTTCTAATGTTGTGTTATTATTGGCAAGACGATCTTTATGTCTATCTTTGTATATAAGGTGTTTTTCCTTCTTTTGAATTACATCTTTAGGATGAATTCAAAGAAAAAAATGCAATCAATAGTTTGAGGGTATGGCTATTTTTATATAGTGTACGATATGTATAAGGACCACAGAGTTTCTTTTTTTTCCCCTAGGTATAATTGATTGCACTCTTCTGATTTCTTCTCAGTTCTCTTATTTGAATTATGTGGCTGCTACTGCTTCAAAAAGTCATACCATTATTTGGTCATGCTTTTGGGGAACTTGATTTGTAGTTTTGTCATCATTTTCTCTCCCTTTCCAGGCCAAATTAAAGAAGCGGAAACCTCGAGTAAAGAAAGAGAACAAAGCGCCCAGGCTGAAAGATGAGCATGGAATTGAGTTTTCATCTCCTAGACACTCAGATAATCCATCAGAGGAGGGGGAAGTAAAGGTATGCGGCTGGATTTCAGTTGAGGGTTATTTTTTTTGCTGCATTATTTGTGCCAGCTGGTATGGTAGAACCATTGTTTGGTGTACATGGGGAGTAGATAAAATGAAAATAGAATATATATACGTCTTTGTTTAACTTGTCAGAGGAATACAGTTGTTATAAATTAGCAGCTGCAGATTCATAGATAATGGAAGTAAATGAAGAGACTGATAACAAGTTTTGATGGTAAATGGCAGTTGACAGTCAGCCTCATTGTTGGGAATGAAAGGGAGTGGTGGGGACTGTGGTTATCCAGAGAGTTTATGCCTAATGTAAAGGGGGCAGCTGTTGAGCAGCTCAGTTAATTGTTGGGCCAAACAAAACTCATCTGTTTGTTGGGTTTGGCCCAAGGACTCCCAGTTTGCAGCCTCTCATCTAAGCAAAGTAAAAAGTAAATTGTTATCTTTCTGTGTGGAGTTTGTTTCGGTGAGTGATGACTATGGAATTTTATTCTGTTACTCTTAGAGTTTAATTGTACTTTGAAACTAGCTCCAAGAGGACCAGCACTGGCTGCAGGAAGTGGCATGGATTTGAGGCATACAGACATGAATTCAAATACTAGTAGCCTTACCAGTTAAGGAGCCCTGGTGGTGCAGTGGTTAAGCGTTTGGCTGCTAACCAAAAGGTCTGGAGATTGAATCCACCAGCCACTCCTTGGAAACCCTATGGGGCAGTTCTACTCTGTCCTGTAGGGTCGCTATGAGTTGGAATTGACTTGATCTCTTTGGTTCTCAGTTTCTTTCATCTGTGAAATGGGAATGATAATGCCTATGTTGAAGGGTTGCTATGAAAATTAAATGAGGGGATATAAATTAAGAGCATCTGACTTTACAGAGTGAGCTTGGTTGTTGGTAGAATTGTGTGTGCCTGGACGCAGGAATGAACCATCTGGGGCAGTGCATCTTTCTCTGGAAAATAAATAAATCTAAACTTGGTGGCAAAAGCTCATAGCCCTGGGGACCTATTTGTTTTGTAGGATGATGGCTTAGAAAAAAGCCCAATGAAGAAGAAACAGAAGAAAAAAGAGAACAAGGAGAACAAAGAGAAACAAATGAGTTTGAGGAAAGACAAAGACGGGGACAAAGAAAGGAAGAAGTCGAAAGAGAAGAAGGAGAAGGTATTTGATGTCATCTTACTTATTAAGATATTCACAACTTCTGAAAATTTTAGGATTTAGAACTAGAATGGGGTTGGAGGACCCTGAAACAATTGTCTTTTTGTGGATTTATCCTAGAAGGAAGATGGGGTTGTAGAAGGGATGCCTACACCCCTCTTTGCAGAGAGAGAGGGTCATACAGGTTTGGGGTGTTCTTTAATACGGAAGGCCTTTACTTGATCTCTTATTTCATACTTCTTGGGGACCCATGTGAATGAGATAGGACGTGTTACTGCCTGAAATGTTCTCAGATTCATGGTAGAAGAGCGCAATGTACAGAGCAATTAGAATATTTGAAGGGTTTAGGATTCAAAACAGAGTTAAAGCTTTTGGAGTGTAAATGGATTAAAAACCCTGCTATTATAAAAGCATCACATTGGGAGTTCTAGGAAGTTCATTCCAAACCACAGAATTTCAGTGCAGTGTATTGCATGGATACTTGCTGACTTCTGGAGAAAATATTTTGCAAGTAATGCTTTATCAGTGTTAAAATATATAAACAAATGAAACGTGCCTATAATTCCACTATCGAGTGATAACTCTAGTAGGTTTCTTGATGTGCAGCTTTGGAACTTTTGTCTTATGCATATAAGCATATATTTAAAATAAAAATCAGATCAGACTGTTTGGGTAGTGTTTTTTCCTCTTCTAGCAATATGTTGTGAGCAATATATTGAAAAGCAGTATATTCACTTTACAAGTGAATAAATAACTGTTAAGATCCTATTTTTTAATTGTACTTTAGATGAAGGTTTACAGAACAAACTAGCTTCTTATTAAACAGTTAGTACATACATTGTTTTATGACATTGGTTAACAACCCCATGACATGTCAACACTCTTCTTTCTCGACCTTCATTTCCCTATTACCAGCTTTCCTGTCCCCTCCTGCCTTCTAGTCCTTGCCCCTGGGTGGCTGTGCCCCGTTAGTCTCGTTATGTTTTATGGGCCTGTCTAATCTTTGGATGAAGGGTGAACCTTAGGAGTGACTTCACCACTTAACTAAAAGGATGTCTGGGGGAAGATCATTTTTAATAGATGGAAAGGAGTGTGTTTGGTTATAACATATTAGAAGCAATTTAAATCTCCTGTATTGAAATTGCTTTGAAGTGTTTAATGTTATAAACTGTACTTTGACAAATATCTTGCATTTGTGCCACCAAAAAATGATACTTTTTTTTTAAGTGAAATACTTAAAAAAATAAATGCACAAATAACAGTTAAACATTTTATTTTATCCACTACTCAGATATTACAGCTGTTATTAATATCTTTTCATGTTTACTTCAAGTGGCTTTTTTTTTTCATTTTGGCTAGAGTAGTTGTGTTTCATGAACACATTACTGATGCTGTTGAAGCTCCCCTCCATTACCACTCTTGAGTTTCATTACTCTCTCTCCCTCTTTTCTCTTCCCAGAGATAACCACTGCTCTCTAGTTGGTTTGAGGCCTTCCCATCCATGGTTTTCTACTTTTACTTCATATTATATAACCATAAACAAAGCATGGTATTGTTTTATATGTTTTTAAATGTTCATACACGAAGTCATAATATATGTATCCTTCTGCAGCCTTTCATTTCATTTATTTTTGAGATTTATCCCTGTTGATTCGTGTAGATTTCAGTCACTCATAATTCCTAGATCAAAGGGTATGTCCATTTGTAAGCTATTAATAAAAGTTAGTACGTGATGTGCCACAAGTGTTCTACCAATTTACAATCATAACCTTTTGATGGCATTTTTGTGCAATTTATAGAAGTCCAAAATAGCATTGATGAAGCTGAAATTATAATGGGACGTGTTGAGAGACAGAAATGGGAATGATGTATGATTCAACTATCAATCGTGTGGATCTGGCTTCATGATGTCTCAGTGGACTTTATAAAATCCTCTTCATAAACCAAAGCCATTATATTTACCCACTGTAGTGATGTGCTGTAGTTAAGAAGTCCAGATGGCAAGGCAGGATTGCACAAATGACAATGACTACTTTTTTTTAAAAGCCTAAAGGTGGTGATGCCAAATCTTCGAGTAAATCAAAGCGATCTCAGGGTCCTGTCCATATTACAGCAGGAAGTGAACCTGTCCCCATTGGAGAGGATGAGGATGATGATCTGGATCAGGAGACGTTCAGCATAGTAAGTCCTGAATTGAGGGTGCCGGCGTCTGCAGCCACAGGGCTAGCCACACAGCCCAGCTGACCGAGGAATCAGTTCATTACTTGGGAAATACAGTGCTTTTAATATCTAAAGACATTGTGCTCTTGAAGAGGCTGGCAGAAAGAGATTTTCTTAATGTCCATTGAGGAAGAAGCTTAGGAAATGGATTTCATGTCTTGTATTCCCAGTTAGAGAGGCCCCTTAAGGCCATTTTTCCAGTTGAGAAACAGAAGCATTCGTTTAGCTAACCTTCATTTCTGTGTTCTGGCCTCTGGAGTTAACATGTTGAATAGATACTGTCTCTGTTGTAGAAATTTACACTTGAGTAGAGGAGATACTTAACTACACAAATCATGTTTGCAATACTGAGACGCCTATGGAGGAGAAAGATCTGGTACTATGAAGGGATTCAGAGATGAGGGGAGAACATGCCAAGCCAAGACAACAGCATGCACAAAGGCCATGTGGCAGAACTGAGTGTGGTACATTTGAGGAGGTAACAGAGACCACTGTGGCTAGAGGACCAAGAACAAAGGGGCAGCATGGCTTGAGATGAGCCTGGGGTTCTCCCCTGTAGAAGCCCAGGCAGCCTGGCCGACTGAGTTAAGAGTAGTGGTGAACATGCCGTATCGTACTGTGGTGCTAAGAGCTAGGACATGGCTATTTCCTCATAAAGGACAGGGAAGATGATGGGGAGGGAGTGTCTGGACTCGGTCTTGCGTGAGATTAGATAAAGGCCAGTGGGTCTTGAGGGCTTCTTAGCCCTTTACTGGAACTGGTTGTGATGGATTCAATGATTTCCCTTCCACACCTCAACTTCAACCCTTCTCTCTTTTCTCTTCCTTTCCCCAGCCTTCCTAAATCATAGTTCAACTTGAATAGCTTATTCAGTCTCAAAGTTCCCTGAATACAAGTATTCTGTCTTATATAAAGTACATTTTGATGCAAGAAGTATATAAATAAATGGAATAAATGAATAAATTCTTTACACAGCCAGCTATCCAGTCTATTTCTTAGTTCTTCCTTAGCCCAGTGCTTATAAGAGAAAATAATAACTAATGCTTCTGTAACCTCATACTATTTTTAAAAAATACTTTCACACATAGGCTTATGTAATCTTGTTTTTATGTTATGAAATCTTTTAAAAAATACAGAAAATTTTTGGGAGTAAAATAGGCACTGATAAAGATAGCATGAAGCTTTGTGAAGTCTGAAAATTTCTTTTTAAGAATCCAAAAATAAAGTTGCTTTATTTTTGTTTCTTACCTTCCCAGAAGTAACCACCATTCTGTATTTGATTATCATTCCCATGCGTGATTTTGGAGTTTTCCTACTTATGTCTGTAAAGATATGATAATAGCTCTCACATAATCAGCCAGCACTGCTTGTGTGCTTTACATGTATTTTCTCTACAACAATCCTGTGAGGCAGGTAATTATCTCTATTTTGCTTATTGAAAAATAAGGCAAAGAGAGGTTAAGTAACTTGTCCTATGTCACATAGCTAAGACCTGGAGCAAAGATTTGACCCAGGCAATTTGGCATGACAGCTTGGGTTCTTTAACCATTATGGCACACAGCTTCCCATGTATCCATAAACAATAAATAGTATAGCTTTTCCATGTTATAAAAATTTATATAAATGATGCACTGTGTATATCCTGCAACTTGTTTTTCCTCCCTCAGTATTTACATTTTTGAGATTTACTGATTTGCTAATTGTGACTCTGATTTAAACATGACTCTTTGTGTTATTTTATTTATGACTTCTGCAGTTCTTTCTTCCTCTCATTGATGAACTTTTCTAAATGTTTGCTCCTACCAATATGCTGCAGTGAAATTATAAATGTTTTCTGTACACGTCACATGTGTAAGAGCTTCTCTAGGGTGTGTAGCTTGAGAAGAAATGCTGGCTCATCACTGGTCATGCACATCTATCTACCTCTTCATTAGATATTGTTGACCTCCTCTTGAAGGCGATTGGAGGGATTTGCATTCCTTCTAGCAATGATTGCTAGTTCCAGATGCTTCCCACAAATACTTGGTAATTTCTGACTTCTCAATTTTTGCCAATCAAAGGGGTATGGAATACTGACTGGTAGTGTAGTTGAACATGTATTTTAATATTTATTAGACATTCACTTTTCTCGTGAATTTCCTGTTCACGTCTTTTGCCTAATTTGGGCAATTTGTCTTTTCTTACCTTTTTTATAGGAATTCTTTAGATGTTCTTGATAACAAATCTTTTCGCTGTTACATTCATTACAAATAGCTTCCGGTCTGTAGAGTATCTTTTTTATTTTGTGTTGAATTAAACACTGAAAAATGCGCATATCATAAACGTATAGCTAAGTGAATGGAAGTTTATAGAGTTTCCCTTATTCTGAAATTTCATGATCTCGTGTCTTAGTTCATTGTGTGCTGGGTACCTAGTGGTTGACATCCATGTCCTACAGTTCTGAGAAAGTGTCTTGAATTGTGATAATTCTCTCCTTTTTAAGTTCTTAGTTCTATGGTTACGGAACTCCTTGTCTTTAGATATTGGACGCTGGGAATGGTCCTCTAGTTTTATTATCTTTGTTCATTTTCTGTTTCTGCTTTTTACTCTACTTCCAAGAGATTCCCTCAACTTTATCTCTCATTATTTCTTTTGAGTTTTTCTTTTTTGGTCATGTTTTATTTCCAAGATCTTTTACCCCCTTTGGTTCTCTGAATGTTTGTTATACTTCTCTTTGTTTCCTGTTGTTCCTGTTGGGTACTTTCCTCAAATGCCTTGGTAATCTCTGGTTGTTCCCTCGTGTTTAATTGCTGTATTGTTGTCAAGTGGACCCCTGCACAATGGACCATTGTGATCCACAGAGTTTTCATGGGCTGCACATGAGTTGCCTTGGTCAGGATATTAACCCTGGTCTCCAGCACGGAGGGCAAGAATACTACCAGTGAACCACCATGTGTGTCTCCTCATGTTTAAGAGTGGAGGACTAGAAATCTCACTGGAAGCTCTGTGCATGTGGGTGGGGCTTGATCTACTTTGAGAGTTTTCACTGTAGGGTGATCTGGATGGTCTGTGTCATTGGGAAGCTTCCAGTAGATAGTCAGCAGCTTTTGGTTCTTCCTCTTGGGTGGTCAGATTTTGTGGAGAAGAATCCCCCTGTCTCCTGACTGAGGGTGAAGGCTTGGCTCTCTTTGTTCTTCAGTCTGAGAGGCAGAAGACTCAGCAGTGGCTCTCTCGTGTGCATGTCCATATAATCCTGTTTTCAGTGCAGTAGCTCCTCAGCTCTGCCTGTGTAGCCCAGTTCAGAGACCTTTTCTTTTATCTTCTCCATATCTTTTTCTGGGCTGAGTTGGAGACCTGGGGATCTGTTAGGAATCTGGGGATCTGTTACTTCTTAAGCAGTCTTTATCCAATCGTCTTTTAGCCCTCACTCTTGTTTCCAGAGGTACCTGGCCTTTGGGGAAGTTTGCGGTATATATCAGTTTGGTTCCCAGGTCTCTGCATGGCTGGTTAAGGGTTCAGTTTTCTCAGGTCTGTTAAGTTGTTTCCTGTGCTGCCAGTATTTTGGTGCTGTTGTTTTCTCTGTCTTTATGGGTTTATCCCTTTTTAAGACATTCCCTTTAATATTGTTTTAGTGGGGCTTGAGGAGGGAGAAAAGAAGATTCTTGTGTTCAGTCCCCTATCTTTATTTGGAAGTCTTTCTCTTCCTTTCCTATGAGATAGATTGACACAGTGGCTGCTGACAGCGGGCTGTAACACAGCACCAATTGTGAGGATGACGCAGGACCAGGCGGCGTCTCATTATGTTGTACTTAGGGTTATGCCATACACAGGTGCTGTGAGTCGGAACGGACTTGACGGCACCTAACGACAACAGCAACAGCAAAGGAGTTGTAAATATTTTATCTTGCTTTTAGGTAGTTTGTAGTGGGAGGTTCTCAGGTTAGGTCTGTAATTTAGCTTCTCCTCTGATCTTCATAATGGCCTTGTGAGGCATTATCACGCCCCAGCTTCAGATATGGAAACAGCATTTCGAGAGGCTAAGTAAGGTGCAGAGGTCATTCATCAAGCTCTAAGCAGTGGTGCTGGGACTTGTTCCTCAGGTTTTACCCTCTCCTCTAGCGATTATATGCCATGAGGGTGGGCTGTATTTTCTCTGAAGTGGGAATTTAGGAGACAGCAACTGAAGATTTCTTTGCTGCAGATGTTTTATGTCTCTACTCTATTACCCTGTTCCAGTGTAAGGAGAGGATGAGGCCTGTGAAAAAGGCACTGAAACAGCTGGACAAACCCGACAAGGGACTCAATGTGCAGGAACAGCTGGAGCACACCCGGAACTGCCTGCTGAAAATCGGAGACCGGATAGCTGAGTGCCTTAAAGCCTACTCAGACCAGGAGCACATCAAACTGTGGAGGAGGTAACCCACATACCTCCAGTTTACCTGTTCTGCTTTGATGGAGTGTGTGGGTGGGTTGTCTTTAAAAGGTGGCATAGCCACCTGATGAAAACCAAAAGCCAGCTCTTGGCAACCCATCTGCAGGCTTTAACTTCCTTTTCTTGAAATATAGGCCAAGCCACTGAGACCAGCCTTTTTGAGTGGGTAGGATGATGTCATTAATTTATTTTATAAGGGAAAGATAGTGATACTGAATTTACAAGCCTATTCTCAGAATAAAGACTCACTCTTTAAAACTGGAAGGAATAGAAATCATCTGGTCTCTCTACTTCACCCTTCCCAGGTTGATGTTCAGACATAATATGGGAATGGTTCTTAGTTCTTTGCCAACCCTGAGGTGAAACAAAACTTAAATTCCCCAGAACTATGAGTTCTCTGTTTTCATCTCCTTCTATACTAATTAAGGAGCCCTGGTAGCACCGTGGTTAAAGTGATTGGCTGCTACCAAAAGGTCGGCAGTTCAAAACCACCACCAGCTCCGTGGGAGAAAGATGGCAGCAGTCTCCTTCTGTAGAGATTTACAGCCTTGGAAAAACCCTCCATGGCCACTATGAGTCAGAATCGATTCAACAGCAGTGGGTGGGGTCTATACTAATTAAGAGCTCTAGTAGTAATTTGAATTAATGCAGTTAATTCAGAACGTTAGTTTCTAAGATATTATGGCTTATATATTTATATGTTCACTTTTGAGATTTTAAGAAAACATGACTAGAATTTCTAAAAGAAAATGATAACATTAAGTCTCTTTCAATTATTTTGAACTCACATAGTTCATGGTTAGTGTCATTGATTATCTTTGTATAATATAGTCTTTTTCAGTGGATTAGTTTTTGAGAGAAAATTGGATATAAAAAACCCTTCTATCCATGATGCTATCCATAGCATGCTGCACCTCCATGGAAAAAAAAGATTTAATTTCTGAAATGTCACTTTTCTTCCCCTTAACACTGTTACTAAATTCTGTCTGTACCTAGCCCATCTGGTCTTCTCTTTACCTGATTTAATCCCCATTAGAAGATAACAGAAGTCATCCTCGTGCCCAGATCCACGCAGCTTGGCTTCCTGCTAAGCCCTCAGAGCTGTCTGTGTTGCAGTGCGCCAGGCACGTGCTGTTGGCCAGCAGCAGCCCATACCCAAAAACCCATCGCTGTTGAGTTGATTCCAACTCATAGCAACCCTAGAGGACAGAGTAGAACCGCCCCATAGGGTTTCCAGGGGGCGCCTGGTGGATTTGAACTGCCGACCTTTTGGTTAGCAGCCATAGCTCTTAATCACTGTGCCACCTGGGTTTCCGCAGCAGCCCATGAGAGGGCTCTTTTCCTTTAAGAGTTTAGAATATAGTAAGATTCCTGAGACACTGTCCCTCATGAAGTGGTAAGTGCAAGCCCAGATGTAGTAGGAGGTCCAGGAAGGAGAAGCTCATGCAGAAGGGTACTCGGGGAGGGAGGTCGTCTCAGAGGTGGGGGCACTTACACTGCACGTGGAAGAGCAGAGTGGAATTGCTTACATGCAGAGGTTTTAGGCTTCTGTAGAGGCTTGAAAGTGGGGCACTGAGGGGACTCGTAGGTATCTCGAGTTTAACAGGCAGTTTGTTAAGAAGACTGAAGTTTTAATATAGAAGGCCTTACAAAGGAAGGTGAATGGCTTCTCATCTGATGCAGCAGGTTTAATAGTTAGGGTGCCAACATAGGCTTTCAGTCTTGGCACGGCATGGAGAAACAACTCTTTAGAAGGTTTGAGATGGTACGAGACGCTTTTTCCAACCTACTTTGCCTCCTCTTTCTAAACATTGGTTTTATCATATTACTCCCCTGTTGGCAGTAATGCCACACTAGGGTGAGAGCAATGGAATTGGAGGGAAGGAGTCAGTCGGTGCTGGTGATGACTGGGAGGGAAGAAGGGACAGCAATGCCAAGGTGATCCCAGACTGGGAGATGGTGGTAATGATGGAGTATGTGGCAGAGTCCAGAAAGTGGGGAAGGTGGAGTTGCAGGACTTGAGTTACAGAGAGAGTCTGACCCTGGGTGCCACTGATATAAATTAGAGGGGCTTTTAGTTATGAGGGAGCCCTGGTGGCACAGTGGTTAAGAGCTTGGCTGCTAACTAAAAGGTCGGCACTTTGAATCCAACAGCTGCTCCTTGGAAACCCCGTGGGGCAGTTCTGCTCTGTCCTGTAAGGTCGCTATGAGTTGGAATCAACTCAACAGCAGCAGGTTTGGTTTGGTTTTGTTTTTAGCTATGAGACAGAACTCTAGTCTCTAGACCCCTCAGTCAAACTCAGTAGCATGTAAAGGTGTTGGTGCAAAGACCCAAAAGGATATTTTTGTAACTTAAATTCTGCAATTGGAGAGCATTTCACAGCAAAATTCAGTAGCTTTCCATTTATAAAAAGAATAAATGAAATTATTTTCTTAATTCTGTAATTTATCAGAACTGTTTTTTTTTTTTTTTAAAGGAACCTATGGATTTTTGTTTCCAAGTTTACAGAATTTGATGCTCGAAAACTGCATAAGTTATACAAGATGGCTCATAAGAAAAGATCTCAAGAGGAGGAGGTAAAATACAGATTTAATCCCAGTTAAAACAAACAAAAGCCAATTCCACAGAAAAAAATCCTTGTTGTTTTTTTCCTGGGGAGGTGGTCATAAACTCATAGGTTATTGGTTCCCAAAAGGTCACTGGCTCTCTGCCTTTATGTTACAGGGAGGCACAGGTCCAGGGGAGTGAAGGAACCCACCACAGGTCACAGTGTGTGGATAGCAGCCTCAAGGCTGCAGCCCAGCCTCTCCTGCACAGTGTGCTCTTCCTGGTTGTTATTTGTACAGTTAATTTCTCAACATGCCCCACTAGTAGTCAAGCTAACAGTAAGACCAGATGGTTAAAATAGCCAATGTATTAGAACCAAACTGTTAAAATTCTGACAAGGGAGTGTTACCCTGTGTTCTTAAGTCCTGGAATCATTTATTTATCAAATCTTTCCTTCCTCTATGTGCATACATCTTACGGTAGCTTATTAATGTGGCTTCTGATAGGTAGTAGGGTTGTAGGCAGAAAATACTTTTCTCTGTTGTTTCCTGGGCCATGTACTTGGTGTCCTTCCAGCTTTTGTACATAAGGTCCCAACAGCTCACATAGAAGAGCAAGTGTGAAAAGGTGCCCAGAAGTTGCTTCCCCTTCTTTGGCGTAGGGGAACGGGGATGGAAGTGACTTGGCTGCTGTTGTAGGGCGGTGATCTTGTGTAAGCATGCCTGTTTGCAGACCTGCTGACTTGTCACAAGGGCTTTACCCAAATCAGCCACTTGGGGCCAATCTGTGAATATTTAAAACTTCTCCCACTAACATGTCAGCTCCGTGAAGGCAGGGATTTTGTGTCTCATCCACTGCTGTATGTGCTTAGAGTGGCGCTGGAAGTGCTCAGTATTTGTTGCGTGAACTATGCTATGCCCAGCACTGTGTTGGGCTTTGGAGTAATACAAGTAGTTTATAATTTAATTTTACTTGAAAAAATATGGTATAGCAATAACATACAGCGGTAATATACTAATATTATTAACTGTTAGTTTAAATTTTAAGCATCATAAAAACTTTTTAAGACTAGTCCGAAGGGTCCCCAGGAGGGAATGAAATAGTTAGGGAAGGCTCTTATTAGCAAGAAGTAAAAGTTAGGATGAAGGTGTGAAGTTGGATACATAATGGTAAAGGGCTTTACTGTAGATATCACAAGTTGGTGTAAGTTGAATAACAAAGATAGTGATCCTTCTACTGAAGGTATACATTGTCACAACCTTTCTGGAGGATACTGTATTTTTACACAAATAACATGCACCTTCTGCATTTGTTTGCCAGCTGTGCCCTCCTGCCATGAGACACCCTCACAAGTGCCGCAATGCCAGTTCTCTTCCACATGTTGTGTAAAAAAATACTTAGCATAGCACGCTTACGGAAATATCTTGCGGAGGGTGGGCACAGCCTTCAAACACAGATGGCATCTGTGCCTGTTATTTGCATAAAAATGTGATAATTCCACAAGATTTATCAAAAGACTAAGACATAGAATTTTGTTTCTAAGAATTTATTTTAAGGAGATAATTAAAGATTTTGAAATGTTTACAGTGGAAATGACTTGGATATACAACAATAAGAAATAAGTTAGATTATGATGTATCCATATATTTGTATTAGGGAATACTATTCAACCATTAAAGAAATAAGTAGAAATGTTTACCTGGGAAGATCTTCACAGTATATTAAGTGAAAAAAGACAATACCAAGTAATATTTTTGTTTTTAAAAATCTATCTGCATATAAACATTCAAAAAAACTTGGAGAGATGTAGACCAGATTTTACCAGTAATTGTCTCTTGGTGACGAGATTCTAGCTCACTTTGTTTCTTGTTTTTTTACTTACTGTGTTTTCTGATGTTTTTATAT